CGTATAAGCACCGTAAACGCGCGTCATCTGTGCCTATACGCGCTGTATTATCGCGCAAGTTGATAAGATATTATTATGATAATAGTTTTAATTTTAGTTTTGTTTATTAATTTCAGTTAACTTTTGAAATAAAGCAACGACATTAAATGCTATATAAGCTTCTTGCTTGCAACGCAATGTTTGGGCGCGTTTAAATCGTTTCACTGTGTGTCTGCGGCGCATGAAATACACCGTGTGCAAAAGCTCTAATTTCGCTCAGCACGGATGTAAAAAAGAAAAATACCATAAAAAGTGCAATCCACAAACATTGCAATGAGACAAAATAACTTAGAAAGTAATGCCGAATTTTAGTTACTTCGAGTTTTGAATGTGGTAAGTAATCGTCTTTTTTCTTTTTCTTATCCTCAAATAAATTCTGAATAAAAAAGTAAATCGTCCATTTCAGTGGACGAGCAGCGTTAATGCAGAAGGCGCTCTGTGGCGAATAATAGCGTATGGCACAGTTGGATCACGTGTTCGTTTGTGTGCGTACATTGCATACCGGAGCGCGGCGACGGCCGGTATTAATTGCGGTTTTGTAATTTCAAAGGCCTCATTGTTACTTGGAAATTGAAGAAAAAATATGTTTGTTTATTAAGAAAATTTAGTAATAAATAATGTTTCCAAAGAATGTCGTAAAAAACAACAAAAACAAATTTTCACTTTGGTTCTCAATATCTCCTTAAATATCAGGTTCTAGATGTGGCCTCATACAAGAAAACAATAGTAATGATGTTGAATACGTAGTTCTCGTTTTTGTTAAGGGCTTTTTTACACACTAGGTGAATGTGGATAACTCTAACGGAAAAGAAAGATCATAGAAAAAATGGATAGAGAAATGGACCATAGAAAACGGAGACCTGTGAAAGATAATGTTATGCCAACCCTAAATAATAAGAAGGGAAGAAGGTCAGGAGGAGATAGATAATGATTTTGGGAGAAAATTTAATAATAAGATTACTTCTGCTTGTCTCACCTTCAATTCCTCATCAATAATTTCATCATCATCGCGTTCAACAGCTAAGTCCCACAGCGCAACTTGGTGGTCTTCGCCGGCGGATGCAAGCACGCTCGGTTCCGTCCGATGCCATTCCACTGAAGTCACTGGCGCTGTATGATGTTTAAACGTCCCTACTGGTGTTTTACTTGCAAACTGCCGTAAATCCCATATGTGAAGGAAACCGTCATCACCACCTAGAAGTTAAAATTAAGAATAATTATTTACTATTAATCTTTCAGCTGAAATGATGCATAACTAATTGATGACAAGAGTTTGGAGACACTTGATAAAAAATTCATACTTACCACTGGCAATGAAAGGTTCTTTACTGTTCCATGATATAACATTAACATCACTGTCATGTGCATTGTCAGCTGTCAGCATGCAAGCTTTATGTGGTGCTGCTCTAGTGTCCCATATCCTTATGCTTTTGTCAACTGAACATGTTGCTAGGACATTTCTAGAAAAACCATTTTTTAAATTTAATAATACACATTTTGATGAACAGGACAATTCGTAAGGTTAGTCGAAAGGATCCTGCGATACGTACGACAGGACAGGATCCCAACCTGTACACCAATGTCCAAAACAATAAAGGTATAGGGAGTGTATTTACGATAGTTTGAAACAGAAAAGGCAGGTACAATAAGAGATTACAGATTACATTACAAGAACTGTAAAATCTGAAATAAATTAAATCTTACCTTTCATTGGGTGACCATTGAATATCTTCAACGGAACTTGTGTGACCCACCAGAGGGCGTTGATCAACATCCCAAGTACCAGCCTCATGTGGTTTCCATATGTGAATATCTCTCCTACAATCACCTGTTGCTAAAACCTGAAAAAATTTGTGCATGTTTCATTACCTGGGAGAAAAAATCTAAATTATTTAAGTGTTTCATATTTTAAACTAAATTAACCTCTTTCATTCTACATGCATAACAATGCAAATATTTTAAAAGTAAGAAACTTATTTTCTTACATGACCTATGAATATTCAATGCAAACTTACTCCAGGTTCAGTTTGACACCAGTCCATCCCAAATCCCTCCTGCTGGTGACCACTAAATGAGTACAATGGCTTCACAGGGTTTGTAACTGTGTCCAAGTTGTATCTCTCAAGGAGGATGGGGTCATCAACTACTTGTAATTGCTGTGTTATGTTCCACACATCTACTCTTCCTAGCTCTGACCAACTGGCAGCTAAGACAGAGTTTCTAAAAGTGGTAGCCTGAAAAATAAAATGAATTTATTTTTTTGCATGTAATCCAAAGACTACAACTTTGCTGCCACACAAAGTAACAAACTTTATAAGAGTAGCTCTATCATGGAGTTGTAGAAAGAAGAGCTTGGAACTGGTTTGCAAAAGGTTAGATTTGATCATGGATTAACCAGCTTAACAACTGTTTCAATGATTTGTTTTAATAGTGAGAATAACTGAGTGGAATTAGCTAGGTAGTATGAGGATTTTATTATTTTCCATTGCTCATGTATTTTATAAACACAATTTAAGTAATAGTTTCTCATAAAAACATGTATGAATTTAATGCCTTTTGTACCCAGTAAGCAAGTAGTCAAATAATCTCACTATCCGTCATGTCAGCCCCAGTCGCATCTGTTCTAGTTTAACCCCTTTTTCCAAACAGGATAAGCCAATAATTACAATATGTCCATAAACTTTATTAAAGCCAAACTAGAGCCAGCATGTTACTTAATGGAACATTAATGTTACATGCAATTATACAATTGGGTGTAACGTTTGTGTAAATGAAACTGTGGATTTTATGGTTTTATCCAATTACCCTGATCTTGTTGACACATTCTTGATGCATTATAAACTAGAGCCACCATCAGAGAATAAAAAAGTAACGTAAAAGGTTACTCTCTGCTCTTCCTTGGATTCAGAACCACACCACGTCTCTCATATTGATGGTAAAATCGCCAGAATGGCAACAAGGTGGTCAGCGAACCGTTTGCCAAGAAAATTTTTGAAGTCTAAACAATTACTGTTTAATTTATTTATTACGAACATACTGTACTGTATGATGGTCGTGCATTGTGCCACATACAGCTGCTTATTCATCCAAATGGGATAGACAGAGTCTATCCTTCAAACACACCTTTTTATTAAATTTTTAATGTAATGCGATTCAATAACAGATTATTTAAAGACATTTAAAAAAAATACTTCAGTGTAGGTAATTTATGATAGCGTTATTCACTTACCATGATGTCTTTTGTTTAAGCAACTTATTTGACTTTATTTACCTTAACTGATGTAATTTACTGCTGTTAAAACAGCAGCATTTAATAAATAAAATAATTGGTATACACATGTAATGATTATATTATTTACATATGCAATATGTTTGCTCTTACAAAGCATGTTACACGTTAACTCAGTGAATAAATAGTAATAGTAGGTAAATACATTTTTACCATTGTTTGGAGTGTCCAAGGCGTGCCAGCATGTTACTTAATGGAGCCCTAGGTTTACAGATAATTGTGCAATTGGGTGTAACATCTATGTCGGAGATGAAGCTATTGATTTTATCTAATTACCCTTATTCTGTTAACACATCCTTGATGTTTTATAAAGGAGAAAGTCATTTGTGGTTTCTTTTCCTCATCTTCTTCCTCATCCTCATCTTCACCATCATCTGACTCTTCTTCACCTTCTGCTTTCGACGTTGGATGCAAGTTCGACATCTTTACTACTAGCAAACTACAGAAATAAACAATATTAAACTTTAAAAATTAGCGTAATAAAATTCAAAATTCCTGTCAACATTAAATAAACAAAAAGGTATATAACTGTAATAAATAAAACTAAAATTTATACAAAAGCAATAAAGTACTGAAAAAAACTTACTTATTTAAATGTGCACTAGACGCCTGTGTGCCGGCGACTAAATAAGAGGTCATTGGAAACTGCTGTCTATCATTTCCTAGGTTATCAGGTACGATATCAAAACTCAGACACGGCGCTCCAGTCTGTGCCTGATGCAGCATCACGTAAGCCGATTGGTCACATACGAGCTGTTCGTCTTCTTTCAGCGGCTGCCCAGGAAGATAGGTCTTCGGTCCGTCATCGTTTTCCCCATCCTCCTCGCTTTCAGATGAACTCTCTTCCATAGGTTCTTCGTTTTCGTTGGACATATTATTTTGTGTGATAAATACAGAATTTATTAAGTAATATTACTAATATCACAAATTAAACAATTTTCGAAGAAAAACACGTGGGTCAGAATCAGTTTTTTCTTTTTTGTACTGTTTTTTTCCATTAGAAAAGGCAAAGGCACTAATGCGCAATACAGCCAAGACAGAGTAATCTCTTTCTTGTATTCCATTACAAAAATTAAATGTCTTCGATATGTAGTGCTTCTTACGAGCCAAGAGAAATAAGAAAAAAATAATATAAAATTGGTCTACGGATATTCTTCATTTTTTCTTTTTTTTAAATTTGTCTACGACTACCAGTGCTGCCAGACTTTTGCCGGACATTGATTGGAGAATATGAACTTTCTTATTTCCCCAATTCTCGTCAAAACCCCCAATAAAATTTGTAATTCCCCAGACATTTTATTAAGTAGCCTAAAATCGCCTTTTCCTATTTCAAACATAGTCTAAATATCGCCGAGACGCCGATCACTTTTTTAATCGCCGCGCGACCCCTCCAATATGTATGAAAACCATGAAAAGCAAGCGTGACGCGTATCACATTTTTTGTACTCACTATGATGTCACAATAACTATTTAGTCCATCACTAAATAGTATTATATATAATATAATATAATAATAATAATACAATAATAACCTCCTTCCGCTCGGTCTATATCGATTGATTGAACGGAATACTCGTAAACACGCCTATTCGATTCAATTAATCGATTCTACACAGAATAATTTTTATTCAAGTATTTGTTGATTACAAGTAGTCGCAATATTAATATAGTAGAAAAATACTAGAATAAGATAGTAAAGTCCCTTATTTTACTTGTTTTTAAGAATTGTTGAGTACTTAAAAAAATTAAGACTTTAATTTTTAATCGACTTCGAATATTAAAATTATTATCCCTCCAATAAAATGAGCTTATTATATAACATATTTTTTAATAGAAGATCTTATCGATTAGCTTGAATAATGAAAACGAACATCAATATAAATTGCGACTGCCTTAATTAATTTTACTAGATGGTTTTCTGTTGGTAATTGGTCAAATTGATGAATGGCAAGACAAATGAAAATGTTACTGCTGACAAAATATGGTAAAATCTTATTAATCAGAAGAGGTTTACTTAATGACGGCGTCGTATGAAATTTTTGTGATTTGTTTATTATTTCTCGGATTTCTAACACCCGTATTCTTAAACGTGTCCTCAAGGTTTCCTCAAACTCAACCTCACCTGAGGTGTCCTTAAGGAATTCCTCAGCACTTCCTCGAAGTCGGTATTCTTAAACGTCATTTGACAATTAAAAGGAGTTCCTCCAGTAAGGTTGAGTCGAGGAATGACGTCATTACCTCGAGTATTTTATTTTTATTATGTTGGCAGAATGTAGCCGAAATGTATACGAATGATAAAATATTTATGGTTAGTGTTGCTACTCAATCCAAACCGAAAAAAAATACCCGATTTTAAAGTAAATTTCTATTGACATGTATCGGTAATCTTGTTGATAAATATGGAAATTTAATAGTTATACTTAAAAAACAAACTAAATTAAGGAGGTAGTCATTCATTTCGAAGTAATCCTACGATTGTACATTAGAATCTTTGTTTAAATAATTATCTATGCAATTAGCATTTTAGGAGTTTGAAAATTTGACATGGCAATAACTTCGTCCTGTCAAAACAAAATGCCATGTGTTCAAGCGGGTTTTGGGCCGACGTCGACGCTTGTTTTGTTTAGTAGTTTGTTGCCGACAGCGACGCTCATAGAACAACATTTCTCTTAATATTATCTACTTTGAAAATAGAAAATGTCCGGAAGACAAATATTCACCGAAATTGAGAAAGTGTGCCTGCAGGAGTTAATAATTAAATATAAATTAAACTCAGCCGCAACTCTCGGAGCAGGAAACCCATTTGCAAATAGACAATAAAATATCAACAACTGTTTCTTTTCTAAATCGAAACCTTTTTTGGAATTGATCGTGGTTGTAAAATTCTAAAGGATTTTCTGCGTCTCTCAGATACCGCCGTGCCGGATAATCATAACTATTGTCATGTACGTAATCCATGAAATCCTCGAAATCGTCAAAATCACACATTTTAATTCAATACACGTAAAAAATAGCGTCACAACAACCGTTTTCTACGGTCGAGGAGGCCTTAAGGTTGGTCGCGAGGTACCTCAAATTTGACAGTTTATTCCTCGACTCCACTGAGGAAAATCCTTAAGTCGAGGACGCTTATGTCAACTTAAAATACCAATAACCTTGGCTGAGGTTGAGTCGAGTGGAGGAAATCTCGAGTAAACAACTAAGAATACGGGTGTAACTCTGCTACTCTGCATATTTAGATAGCATCTTATGTGGGATAAAGTAGACCATCGTCGTCCTCGAAAGCAACGAACTCGTACGTATGACCAACTCCAGGTTTTTGTAAAGACAGCGCACTGTTAATTCTTGGATTATATATTTTTTTGTATTACTCGTACTACATATCCGGCGAGGTATATAATTATTTGCTCACTACATTCGGACATTTGTGGCAACGTGCTGCAAATATTATCGAAATTACAGATGCAACTGATACAACAAAACTGAAAAAAAAAACCGAAACGTTACTAAACGTTATGCTAGAAGAGTTATAGAATATTTTTACAATATTGCTAAGGTCATAATAATTTTCGTCCCTTTGTTTTCAAAATCGGTCAGAATCGAGAACATTGTTGCCTAACGTTACATCACTAAATGTTACATTTGGCCAAAAAAATGTGCAAGCGGCCGTACCACGAAACTGAATTTTATACAAAAGTGTATTTGTTCGATATTCATGGCGTTATACAAAGGACAAGAAATATATCGCACCAAGTAAAAGCCGCAATGTATTAGAAAACAGAGGCATACACTCGGCTGGATACTTGTTTTCTCGAAATTCATACAAAACCAAAATAATTGTTTTTAAAATAAATTATGCATCTTCTGATTACAAAATCATTTGCCCGTGGAAGGAAACGTTTCTGTTTACCCGTTTACCCAGGTTGTTTTGCTTTTGCAGTAGTAAAAGTAACTTCTACGGTATTATTATCGAAATACAATTTTTATTGTCAGATACCAACACAGTAAGATAACAGCAAAAACATTAGGTGACAATGTTTGAAGAAAATCAATTAAAAGTGTTTCAAACTCCGTAAGTTCAGCATCTACTGTTTTTTTCCTCAATCTACTGTTTTTTCTGGGCAACATGTTCCGATTTTTTCAGATTTGACATGGCAACACTGGGAAAAAGTATAAAAAAAAAATACAACTTGGTTGGTAAGTGGTTGGTAATTTGATTCACAAACTAATAAGAGATACTACGTATATTTGATTACATTTTGGCAACAAAAGATGGCTTTAAGAAGTTGGAAATTGTTCAGAGTCAGAATTATCAGAAGTGTTAACACAATCCGCCAAAATGTGATGTCGACGTCTGTTATAATACCTGTTAAACATAAATTTACAAAACCAGAACAGTATAAAGCAGATCATAAATTAATTTATATAGAGGATCCAGATCAATTTGGTACGTTAGCTGGTAGACCAAAAATTCCAGAAGATACGCTAGATGATGAGGGAGACATAATAGAACAGCAATATCTTGAAAACCGGCCATTACAATCACAGAAGCTTACTATAAGACAATATGCAGATATAATAAAACAATATTTAAAGCATAAGAGAATAAAAGAAGCTATCGACGTTTTAGAAATAAGAATGCTAAAAGAAGATAGAGTTAAACCTCAGAATTATATTTATAACATATTGATAGGTGCATGCGCTGAAGTAGGATATACAAAGAAAGCTTTTAAATTATTCAACGATATGAAAAAGCGTGCGCTCAAACCCACTGGGGATACTTATACATGTTTATTTGAAGCTTGTACTAACAGTCCTTGGATTACAGATGGCCTGAATAGAGCTAAGAATTTAAGAGAACTTATGATCGAAAAAGCCATTGAACCGAACTTAACAAACTATAATGCCATGATTAAAGCATTTGGTCGCTGTGGAGACATTACTACTGCTTTTAAAATTGTGGATGAAATGGTTTCTAAAAAAATAAAAATTAGAATTCACACATTAAACCATTTACTACATGCCTGCATAAGTGATAAAGACAGTGGATTGAGACATGCACTTATTGTTTGGAGGAAAATGTTGAGATTGCGAGAAAAGCCTAATATTTACTCCTTCAACCTTATGTTGAAATGTGTTAAAGAATGTAATTTAGGTCATAAGGAAGATATTGAAGAACTACTTCAGATCATCCAAGAACAATTTCCAAAAGTATTAAACAAGCCACAAATGGAACTTTTACAAATTGAATCTACTGATACAAATAGTACAGAAGCACTGAAAAGCGAAAAACAATCAGATAGTAAAGCATTTACAGATAAACAAAATCAGCAGAACACAAAGGGATTATTAACAGAAATTAATACATACACAAGTACTGACATAAACCAAGTGGACAATGAACTTCATGGTTCAAAAAATAGTGAACAGTTAGATGAAATTTTACTTAGTATAAACAGTAGATATGAGTTAAGAATACAACCAAAGCCAGACTTCACTATTGTAGAAAATAGTAAACTAGTTAAAACAGAAGAAAGAACAGTACCAAACCTTTTATCAAAAACTATAAAAATGAACAAAGTACTCGCAGTTCAGGAAATCCATTCTGTTCAAGATAAGTTTACTATTATAGGAGGACAAGAAGATTTTCTAAAAGAAATGGAAACATATTCAGTAAAACCTGATATAAAAATATTCACACAAATGTTGCCTTTAATAGATGAAAGTACAGAGGCTGAAATAAAACTTTTAGAAGTTATGAAGTCACAGGATATCAAAGCTGATATAAATTTCTATAATATGCTTATAAAGAAACGATGTTTGCGGCTTGATTATAAAGCGGCTTTTGTAAGTATGCTTTATTCATATATTGTTTAAATGGGTACTTAAAGTTACTTACCTATCTAACTTTATAACATATGTATAATTTTAAAATTTTTTATCAAAATTTATAAAATAGCTCTAAAAATTCAAGCCAAGTTCATATAATAATAATAATAATGCACACTCAACACCTAGGGATTTGGATTTGGATTTAGATCATGTATATTTGTTTTTTCATGGTCTGACAGTCACTGACAGTCAGTCGTGACCACGGGACCTGTACTGGGCCTGAAACGTTGGTTTGTTTGAACAAAAAACTTAATAACTATACTTATAACTAGTATGATTTTCTTCCAGGCTGTAATGGACATAATAGAACAAGAAAGCAAATATCGCAAAAAAAAATACCCTATGAAAAAAAAAATTGCATTGAAAATCAACATAATGACCTACGGAGTATTGGCAATGGCTTGCAAGACCAAAGAAGATGCAGAGAAATTGCTCAATGAGATGAAAGAGAAACAACTTAAGTATGTTTAGTAAATCAAATATACTTGATTGATATAAATGTTTAGCACTTGCTTATATGCACACATAACCCTTGTGATAAAACTGTTGAATTCCTGAAAGAAACAGTGGCTGCATTATTGAATAGTGGCTTGATTATTATACGCACAAAAATTGGGTGTATAATAATCAAGACCTGTGTAGAAAACATTTTGTGCCATCTTATTTCAATTATCGTAATATTAAATCTGTTTTTCAGGGTTAACATAGAAATTGTAGGAACATTACTAAGACAAGGAACAGCACATAACCAATTTGACTATGTGACATACATAATGAATACTGTTGTGCAAGAAAATTTGAAAGTTAATGATGTATTTGTCAAGCATTTGGAGGCGTTTAACAATAAATGTGCCAAGAAGCATGAAAATAAGGTTTGTAACTTTTATTGTTTAGTATCGTATCATTTAGTTTTTTGTTTTCAACTATAATTGTGTTTTATTTTTTTCAGGAACAAAACAAGTCTAACTTGTTAGAAAAATATAGAAAGTTCTTAACTACATACAATAACTGGCTAAAAGAGGCCAATGTGGAGCATGCATTACAATCTGATCATCCATGGCAACAGTTCAGAGAAAAACCGCCCGAGACAGTACAACGACACAATATTGAAATTGTGGAGCCTAAGAGATTTTATAAGAGGAATCGGAAGTATGTGCCATATGCTCCACGAGTATAATAAAATGAAATGTATACACAAGTCAATTAAAATTTTATTTTGTAATTAAATGGAAACATTACAATTTTACTTTGACTTATTACCCTTAGTCTAAATTTTGATGTGGTGGAGTTTGCGGTTGAGTTCTTCAAACTTAAGAATCTTGCGGATGAAGAAGTCACCATAGCGGTGCGCCACCTTCGTATCCGCGATGTGGATCATGTCGTTGTCAATATAGAAGTCCAGCTGAAAAATAAATTAGTTAGATTTTCAAGAAAAATTGATTTCGTTAAGTTTAATTAATTATACGAGTAGTACCATGAAAGAACCGCGTTAATGGCGGCTTAAGCACTTTTTCTCAAGGTGAACAGTACAGCATGGACTTTCGGGACTTGACAGGAGAACGCTCACTACCATTCACCATAATGTGGTTTATATCACTTACTTAGATACAAGCTACATATTGGTCAAGTGTTTCTTTGCAGGATTTTAGGATTAGTTATAATTAATAATTACAACTAATCCTAAAATAAAATAGGCACAAGAATTTTTTGAGAATCTCACCTCAGATCCACTCTGGAACTTTCCATCCAGCCCACTAGGACCTTTGGTCCAGACAACATTCTTCATTTTATGTTTGAAGCAAAGCAAATGAATGGCGAGCGCAGCGTGTTCTCTAATTGCGTCTCTATCGCCGCCACGAGCTGCTGACATAAAGGCGGCTAACTTGGCCAGTGGCAGAGTGGTATATAGCTTCAAGTACGACCGAATAGTGGGAAGCATCTTTTGTTGACGAACCTGGGAATTAAAATTACTTTGTAGCAGTAGGACCCCTTGTGAAAGAGTTCGTTCAGGGTAGTACAGCCACTTTACCTATTTCTGACGTCAAGCAGTAATGTCAGTATTACTGTGTTCCTTGAAGGGCAAGGGTACTGGTGAAATTACAGGCACTTGGGGCATGTCAACTTATGTCTCAGGGTGACGGACGCAGGGGTAGTGCCCCTCAGATCTTTGCGATTTAAAGCTCTTAGTGGCACAGCATCTGTTATGGACACACGTGTAGTGTGCTTTTCCTAAACAAAACTTTTCCTAATTCGGTTACAAGTAACGTACGAACCAACATTGATTTAATAAACTGCTGAAATATTTGCGGGCATTTTCCTTGTTAACTTTCAAAGTTCTCATAAAATACCTCGTCCATGAAGACTTGCGTCTGATGCTTGATGGCATCGCGGCCGTAATTAGAGCCGGGCTCAATGGGTGGCGGACACGGTGACATAAACTTGGGGCACGCGAAAGTAAAGCAACTCTCGAACTCGCCCAGGTCGCCGTATTGCATCTTGAACATCTTCTCGTGGTAGTTCTTTTCGCGGAGGACCTGATAAACAAGGCAAAAACTTAGGAAAACAAAGGAGCGGCATATCGGCAGTTTGTTTGTACAACTTCGCATTAAACGGAATCTTCTATGTGGATTTTTACCTACCATTTCCCAAGTTCATGCAGATGATTAAGAACAAATCTTAGTAATTTTAATGACACCAACTTTACTTCATGCTTAATAGATTCTCATTCAACAGTAATTCTAGTGTTTGGCAACATTATTTTAAACTTACTAGTAGAATAAACCTAACTATTACCTGCTGAATCGATTCGTCGACGCACTGCGGATGCAGTACAAGACAGATGGCCAGGAGATGATACATCTGTTCCGTCTGCTTATTAATCTGGTCGTTCTGGTAGGAACGAGAAGAGAACAGCTGTTTGGTACGCTGAAGGTACAACAGCGCTGAAGACAACGTGCGGATAGCATCAGAGTAACGACGCATCATCATGTAGGCAAATCCCACATAGTAAGAAGTGGAGATTTGGCAAGCAGGCACATGGGAGTATTGTGACTTTTTGTGTAGTTCGATATTTTCCAGGACCTTAAAATGCGATATAAACTTGTTATAAAGTAATTTCTATAAAATATTTAAACAATTCCGACTTCATATTATATATGTCAACCTTAATTGCTTGGTAGTAGTCGCCGAGCAGCGAATGTAGGCGTAGGAGGCCTACCAACGAAAAATAGCCCAACATCTTGTATAGCGAATGGCGTCCAAACTCGCCCGCCACACTGTCAGGGTCGCCACCAGTGGCGTACACCTGCAATAGAAAAATGACTACATCATACTTAGAACATCAGCATTGATTTGTTTAAAGTAGCTTATTTAAATACATAATTGGTAAAATTGGATGATGTTATTTAGGGTTAGTGTAAACGAATATATTTGGTGTGTATGCAGAAGAGAATATATTTGGTATGTATATCTTGTTCGCTCATTTCGAATTACATACTGGAATTACACCTGGGAACCCTTCCCAGGATAATGAAGTCCAAAAAAAAATTTTGGTGCCTCACATCGAGGGGTATCCGAATCACCCCCATGTATGTTCCGCGATTTTTCGTAGTTTCCGAGTTATGATTTTTTTATGGACTTTTTGAAAATTTCAATCGGATCGGGTCTAAAATTTTTTTTAAAACATTTAGGGTAAAATTAAATAAAATTTAAAATGTCCAGATCTTAGCTTTCCTACAGTTATTATTTTACTAGTTCATACACTTTCACCATAATTAGCTTTGAGAAAGGAATGACAAAATGGTTTAGTAGAATAATGGCCAATTCGCAAAATGGCTAACAGCTGAAATGGTGCAAATTCGCTAAATTACTAGTTCAAAGAATGGCCAATTTTTGAAATGGCTAATTCTTGAAATGGCTATTCGATATAGGCCTTTTTTTTTTTTTTTTTTTTTTTGGGGGGGAAATCTTTATGGATACCCCTGAGCCCAGGGAGACTCAGGGGTTATGTGGGGACTCTCCCTCCAGACTTGAGGTTCGATATAGGCCTAACTCTTTAAAATAGGCGCTTTGTCGTCGAGTTGCGGAAACCAGCCCGTTGCACCAAGTACCAAGTAAACTCTTTAAAAGACTAATTCTACAAACGGCCAATTCTCGAAATGGCTAATTTGAAAGGCTACTTTTTTACCTTGGCGGGAAATGGGACATTACGGAAGTATCTGGTTTTTACCTGGTAGACCTATATTTGCTACTTGCCCCAAAGTAGTTCTATTCGGTTAAGTTGAAATAAAATACCACAGAAATAAATTCAGGATATTTGGTTTATTTGTTAACTTTGTAAGATCAGTAGAAAAAAATTACACCTAAGTAATTGTAAACACCTACATAATTATATGTATATAAACCAATTGCAATAGTAATATGCGATTATTTTTATTTATTTATAATCATGAAACCCTTCATTACACTGTTCATTGTTATGATTAATTTTGAATCACTTTACATTAGAAGACGTAAATAAATTATTTTTTTGAAAAACTCCTCGAGGAGTTTTTAATAAATAAGTACGTAATCGTGCTTGTCTAATTGGTCAATAATACGTATATATTTTTTGTTGTTGACTAATGAAATGATTTTAAAACATTTATACCAACCTAATAGTAATTTACAAGTTACTGCACAATTCTGACAATGTGGGTAGTTTTAAAAAAAAATTATAATCTCATCCATGTTTGCGATATTTGCGTTTCTTTTGCATTATTATGGTTGTGGCAAAACATTATGGATCAAAACGAATTTGTGTTCAGCAAAAATCAAAAATGAAATGAAACATTACTGTTCAATGGACACCGGTACAATAAAACGAATAGAATAAATAAAAATCTAAGTACATTTTGGCGATGTGCAAACAAAAGTGAGTGCAGTGGCTCTGTAAGTATAGATTCAACAAGAAAAAGGATACTAAGAGCACCCCGACATGTTTGTTTACCTAACAATGACAAAAATATTATTTCCCTTAAAATGAATGAATTAAAGAACAAAGTGCCTATGCCAAAATAAGGGGCCAATAAAAGGAATATTGACAAGGCACTTGAAAATATGCCAGGGGCTTCGGCTGTTAAACTTCAACATTTTCACACCAAGAAAGATTCCCTATATAACGCCAGAAAAAAAATTTACAAACGTATAGGTTAGCATTTGCTTATACATAAGATGTATTTGTCCCAGAAGGTGTCACAGACAAAATACTCGTATTTACTTCAAAATTATGCAAAAGGCTTATACAACGTGGTAAGAAAATGAGTTTCTATGGGGATGGTACATTTAAATCTGTTTCTCGTTTATTTTACCAGCTGTATACCATCCATGTGGACTTGGGTTCAGACGAGAACACCACAAACGCATTATTTCCGTTCTATATAGTCTTCTTTCCGACAAGACTCAAGTCACATATACGCGATTATTTAACATACTGAAAGATTGACTTGGACTAAACATCAAAAGTTTCAAATGTGATTATCAGGTGGCGGTGATGAACGCAGTTGCCGAACTATACCCATACGCAAAGATAAGCAGTGGCTATTTCCATTATCAACAGGCGGTATGGAAAAAATCTAAAGAACTAGGCCTAACCAGAGATAAAGAAAACAGAAAAGTCAGTCGTATGGCAGCCAACATGCCTCTTTTACCTGCAAAGTAATTTATGGCAAAATAGAAAACTTGTCTTCTGCAATGAACCAATTTCAAAAATATTTAGAGCGGCAATGGTGCCGCCTGACACCAACTTTATTAAGTTGTGCTGGTCAGCGCCACCGGACCACCAATGCAATAAAAAGTTGGCATCGCCGCCTAAATGTTGTAATTCCAAAACGTCCTAGCCTACTTAATTTTATTCACAAATTAAGAGGGGAATCAAAACATTTTGATATACAGATTAAGAAAAGTTTATTTGAGAGGCAAAAAAAAAATAGAAGAAACCGAGATATTATGTTTGACAAAAAATATAACCGTATTATTGACCAATTAGACAAGTATGATATAACGTTCGAGGAGTTTTAAAAATAATTATTTATTTACAGCTTCTAATGTAAAGTGATTCAAAATTAATCATAACAATGAATAGTATAATGAAAGGTTTCGTGATTATTGTGATTATAAATTTAATTAACTGCCTCCGTGGCCGAACGGTTACCATGCCGGACTGCCATGCAGAGGTCCCAGGTTCGATTCCCGGGCCGGGAGAAATGTTTGTATGGCTTACATTTATTTCTTTCGTGAGTTTGGGTGTAATTTGTGGCTGTCTATTTGTGTGTCCATGGCACCCGCGACACAGGGTTTCCCTAGTGCGGGGCTATGTTGAGTGTATGCGCTATTATTATGAAAACATTGTGATATTCAATAAATTTCATATTAAATAATGAAGTTTGCCAAATAAAGAAGATTGGTTTACCTCAAGTTGGCGCTTGATATTGGACTTGTCTACAAGTGAGTGCAGCACATTTAGGATGCAGAGTACATTCCAAGCCTTGTTCTCGGTGTTGAGAGTTTCAATTTCAGCTGGGCTCAGCTTTGAGGTGCGGGACCTGAAGCAGGTACGAGTGTTAATAGCAATTATAAACCTTAGTTCTACATTATTCAAATAATTAGTATCTTGTATAAAGTATAGCAATGATGGATTAATTTGCACATCATCATTTATTATTCAATTTCAACTATCAAGGAAAACAACTTTTTTTATACAAATGTAAGTTGCGCATTTGACCTCCATCTTTCCTGATGGAAAGTGACGATGAGGTCGACGATGAAGTGTTAGAGCGTGCGTTTTTTTTAGTAGAAGCTCTTAATAACACTCGTAAATACCAAATAAATAGAGAATTTAAATTTACAAGAAAAACTAACACATGAGTGACACAGTATAATACAGAACAAAAGCTACATTGTTGACAGATTTCAATATTAAAGATTTCCAAAAAACTACTTCTTCTTTTCAGTAGCCAGGAACACTGTCCTTGACACTTTCCCTCACTGATAAGAAGAAAGTTTCTCATGGTTCTCTAAATGTTCTCATGTACTCCCAGTTAAGCTCGTATTTCTATGAGTCTTGGTTTGGGTACGGCCTTAGTCATTATGTCTGCTAGTTGACTGGCAGAGCTTGTTTTTTCCACAACTACAAGACCATCTTGAACAGCTTCACGAACGAAGAAGTGTCTCACACGAATGTGTTTAGTCCTCTTATGAAACTCAGGATTATGAGCAAGGCGAATAGTAGCTTCATTGTGAACTTTTAAAGTTGGCACTTCCTTAATATCTGTCAGATCACAGAATATTAATTTTTCAATTAATTTTTTAATTATTAGAAAGGGTTGTAACCCTAACTAGCCGTGAACAGGTTCACGGCAATGAAACGGAAACTTCCGGTCCACAAAACTTATTAAAGAAGTAAAGTTAAAAGAAAGGGCCCTAAATGGGTCGAATAACTGAATTACAGATATAGGCACATGAAGGCTGTAGACTGTTATAAATTATTAGTATTACACATGATTAACGATGACCAAAATTAGCGATTATACGCGATGGAATTTGAAACAGCTCCGACTGTTGTAGCGGTCGACTAGGGAGTGCGAAAACAAAATGAGAAAGTGAAGGAAGACGGAACAATTCAAATTTAAAATTTAAATACACGTAAAATAAAAAAATATAGGATACAAGCGGAAAGAGGCGATACAAAAAGGTGAGATGACGGTGTAAGGAGGTCACACCGTCACAATTTTGTGCCAAAGATCATAGTTCCTTGCAGATATCTAAATATTCTCTTCACGGTTTGCCAATCGTCTTTTATGGAGTTTTCCAACTTCCTTGATACTAAACCCACGTGTGTAGTTACCATTAGGTACGCAAGAGCAACTACAGCTTCTCTGTAAAGACAAATTTCTTTTTTCCATTCTTCTACTTCTCTTGATTCAGCAGAAGAATCCTTTTGTATCGGTGTTGAAATGGGATTGCAGTTCAACATACCAAACTGTTCCAAGATTTTTTTAGTATAAGCTTATAAAGATGTCATTATTTTTTGATCTATCGATTTCCAAACCTAAGTAATAAGACGCAGGTTTCGTGGTTATTTTCAGCCTCTTCTTAATATCATTTAGGAAATCGTCGACTAACTCTTTACCTGTTGTAGCTACTAGCCCGTCTTCTACATACAATGTTACGAGCAATTTCTTGTTCATTACCTTCTTAATGAAAAGATGGCTGTCAGAATCACTCTGTTGAAAGTACATATCAAGTAAAATCTCTTCAAAACACGAATTCCAGCAATGTGGAGCCTGCTTTAATCCATAAAGGCTTTTCTTTAATTTCTATACTTTCGACGACCCAACATTGAAACCTTCTGGCTGTTTCATGTATATTTCTCATCTAATTTTCCATTGAGGAAAGCTGTTTACACATCAAATTGTGTTAAGTACAGGTTCTCCCTGGCACTCACACTAAGCAAAGCTCTGATGGTAGACATTCTTGCTAGAGGACTAAAGGTGTGATCGTAATCAATTCCATTTTTCTGTTTGAATCCTTTGAATACAAGGCGCATGGATCCTTCAGGATTCCGCTTGATCCTAAATAGGTATTTACAGCGCAGCGCCGTCCGATTTGGTGGTAATTTACATAGCGTCCAGACATCGTTGTCCTTTAACGAATTTATCTCGCTTTGCATAGCATGCAGCCAATCTGTACCGTCCTCTCGTTCCATAGCTTGTTTAAGTGTTTCAGGATACTTTTCTATGTCCAGAAGGTAGACAAAGTCATCATATCTTTTCAGACGTGATATGGTACTCCTGTCTCTCAAGTTATACCTTGATTCTACGTAATTGTTTCCATGCAAAGATTATGAATTAGAACTTAATTTCATTCGGTTCATGAACTTCGAATTCCTCTTCAGCATCTTCAAAATTTTCATCGACAAGTTGTTCATGAGTTATTTTGACCTCTGTTGAATGTCTGAACTTAATCTTAGATTATCGTCAGGGTTCTCAATTGGGGCCGGTGTCTGTCGTTGCATGTCTCCCTCTACCTCTGAAGGATCATCAGAAATACACGCTGATCTATCTGAAATATCTCTCTCTATTTCTGTAGGATAGTTTGTGGAGACTTTAAATTCAACATCGGTTTCGAAAGTAATATCTCTGAATCGAATAATCTTTTAACTATCCCAGACGCGATACCCACCGGCATTTTCATACCCAATGAGTTTGCCTTTTACTGCCTTTCTATCCAGTTTCTTACGCTTTTGCTTTGGAATGTGAGCGTAACACTCACTACCAATAATACGCAGATAAGAGATTCTGGGATTCCTCTCATGCACTAATCCAAACGGCACTTTGTTGTCAACTCTAGTTGGACCTGTGCGATTGAGTACATAAGTGGCCGTGTTGACTCCTCTCCGTTGTCGCTTAGTATTGCTTGGACTGTGTGCCTTTGTCTCATTCCGCATTTGTTTTAACTTATCATTACCTCATGCTTGTTTTGAATAAAGTATACCATGCGATAACTTGAGTAATAGTCTTTAAACAGTACATAATAACTAAATTTTGAAAAGCATGCACAAAGGGCCCGCATAAATCCCGTATTAATTCTCCTGGTTCAGTTGCTCTTTCCCTTTTTCCAAACTTATCTCTATGACTTTTTCCGTAAATGCAGCCTTCGCATTTTACATTGTCGTTATATAACTGTATTTCCAACTCACGCTGACTAACTATCGGATATGTCTATTGTCTTGATGAGCAAACGTTCATGGCACAACTGTACCATATTCGAACTTGTAGCTACATTAACTTCAATAATCTTTTTTATTGGAATGACTGTCTTCATATCCAATTTGTATAGTCCGCCATATGGAACTCTTTTACCAACAATCTTTGTGATGCCTCCTATATCTAATTTGCAATCTCGAGTTGTTGACGTAAATATGCCATTATTTTTAATATGGAGAACAAGTTCTTTGTGAGCGACGGTACGAACCACACATCACTTAGTGTTATTTTCTCTTTGTTTCCATTGACATTTGATTCTACCACGATAGAACCTTTCCCTTTTGCAGGAATGGATGTTCCATCTGCAGTCAAGACTTTATGACTGCTGTCAAATTCTTGAAAGTCTTGGAGGAAATCCCTTCTAACAGTAACGTGAGTCGTAGCTGCATTGTCGACGTGCCAATCTAGGCTTCCGCTGTATGGATTGTAGTCTTTTACAACATTAACAGCCATAGTGTAATGTTCTGAACTTGTTTGAATAAGGAACTTGCTGGCAAACTGTTCGGTTTCGGTGGACTTCCATCTTTGATCCACTTTTGACAGTTTCGCACTCTATATCCTTTTTCAGAGCAATAGTTGCATTTAAGCCTTTTGTCCTTATCCTTGCTCTTGTTGTGCTTCTGTGAGCTCGTGTTAGGAGTCAGAGCTTCCTGATCAAGAATGTTCTTACTCAACAGAGCTCTCTCGTATGCACATAAGTGCTTTTTGTGTTAATAGCCAACTACTTCTAAATGAAAAATAATCTTCACCAAGGGTGTCAAGAATCTTACAGACCAATAGTAGTTCAGGTAAATAAATCTATTTGTCTTGAAGCATCTCTTGATTCAGCTCGGTCCATATATTTTTCAATTTAGATAAATGGGTTGTAATGTCATCTGCTGGATGTCATTTAAATCCGAAAAAGGTCATGCACAAGTTTTATGATCTGTCATCACAAGTACCATCAAAAAGCCAGTGTAATTCTAAGCATACTTCATGGGCAGATGTCTATCTCATCACTTTACGTAGTGTGTCTTCACTAATGTTTGTGGTGAGAAGGAGTAGAGCGCTGCTATCAGCATTAACAAATTTGGCAAGTTCCAATCTGTATGTGATGACATTGGCGTCACCTGCTCCATCATCTGGCACAGAATCGGGTCTTTTTAGTTTTCCCTCGACTACATCCATAGCATTTTGAATGCTCCGCAATAAGATTAGAAGAAGCTTTTTATCTCCAAGTCGACCAGTTGACTTTTCCTTCTAACTGACCAATTCGTGTTTTTTTTTTAGTAGGAGCTCTTAATAAGACTTGTAAATACCAAATAAATAGAGAATTTAAAGTTACAAGGAAAAACTAAGACATATGAGTGATACAGAACAAAAGCTACATTGGTTGACAGATTTCAATATTAAAGATTTCCAAACAACTACTTCTTTTCAGTAGCCAGGAACACCGACTTGACATGAAGCACACCTAAATAGTGCCTATTCACTCTCGTCTTGAACAAGTCCAAGTTATAATGTTCAGGGAACAAGTCTGTAGGCAGGGAATTCCATATGAATGTGGAAGCATAACATTTCGTGCGAATCTTTGGAATATCCACGACATAGGGGTGAAATCCAAGCCGCTGTGCAATAAATATTATTAAAAAATTTACAGTCAATAATCTCGCGACCATCTTTATAGTTTTAAAAAACTATGTTATCGTGACGAGTTGAATTTAAATTTCAAGTACATCAACAGACATGCTGTTGTTGGCACTTATTGTATGATAGGCATCGAATGTTTAATAATAGGGGTTAAAGTATGAAATTGCCGATTTGTACTGAAAATCTAAATTGTTTATTTTTTAAATTTTTAACAAATTTATTTAATCAAAATAGTTGCCATTATTATCTATACATTGCTGCCATCTAATGGGAAGGTTATTAATGCCTTTGCGATAGAACTCCGCCGATCTAGACTGCACAAACTGTGTGAAAGCATTTTGTACTGCCTCCTGGGAAGAAAACTTCTTGTCACGTAGATAATTGTCCAAATCACGAAAAAAATGGTAGTCCGTTGGAGCAAGGTCTGGTGAATACGGAGGATCACGAATGGTTTCTAACTGTCGTTCCTGAAGGGTCAAAATGGTTTCTCGTGCTGTGTGAAGTCTCGCGTTGTCGTGGAGCAATAATGGTGAAGATCGATTCATGAGTCGGGGCTGTTTTACTGCTAGTTTTGTCAACATGGTTCGGAGTTCGGCACAATAGACATCTGCCGTTATTGCTTGACCAGATCGGAGAAAACTATAGTGAATAACACCATGCTGAGACCACCAAACAGTTACCATTACCTTTACCTTTTTATTGGTAAGTTTTGCTTTAGGACACTGTTGTGGCATTTGACCTGGGGTCAGCCATTGCATTTTTCTTTTCCGGTTATCATAAAGAATCCACTTTTCATCACATGTTACAATTCGATCCAATATTCCTTCATTTCTGTACCGGTTCAACAAGGCAACACAAGTTTCAACACGCATTTCTTTCTGCAGATCAGTCAAATCATGAGGCACCCATTTTTCGTATTTTTTTATTTTATTGATTTGACGCAAGTGAGTCAATATTGTGGGTAAGGTAAGGTTAAACCATGCCGCTAATTCCTGGGTAGTTTGACTAGGATCGGCTTCCACTATCTCTCTTAATTCATCGTTATTCACCTGTGTGGGCGGTCTTCCTCGTGGCTCGTTCTTTAAGTCGAAATTTCCATCACGAAAGCGTTTAAACCAAAATCGCATGGTGCGTTCATTAGTAGACCCCTCTCCAAACGCAGCATTTGATATTGCGGGCTGTTTCTGCTTTTCGCAGTATCCATCTTTCTTGTCTAAATTGAATAACAAAAACAATTGAAAGTCGATATTCAAATGTTTCAAATTTAAAAAAAGAAATCACAGAAACCATTTGAAAAAGTTTCATTCGAAAACCTCAAACCATGAAGATTCTATGAAAATTCAAAGAACCTATTGCAATAAAACGGCAATTTCATACTTTAACCCCTAATATTACATACTTCCAAGAAGCTGAAAGCAAACGAAATTAACATAAGTGTCAAAAACTAACCTGTATTGAGCAAATGATTGGAATTGGTAGACAAACTCATCTATAAGCTCCCACAGCCATTGGTCCGGCAGCTCCAAAGGGACGGGAGTTTCCGCTGACAAAATGTAGTTAAACAGGTCACAGTAGTTATAGAATGAATGGAACCGCTGCTCAGGTTTGGGACCTCCGGGAACTCGTGCATAGATGTCACGATAGTACAACTCTTTGTACAATATCATGAATACCTGTGATCAATTTCGATAATAAAATTAGCAATTTACGCAACCGGCAATTGTGATATCTGGATACCAAATCTTAAACTAAAAGCACTGTAAGGAGTACAGATAAGGGCCGCTTGTTGTTATGTAGACTACTCTGGGTAGGTAATAAATTTTGTGTTAAGTCTGCCATACAAACTATGGAGTTGTAGTAATACTATTTTTAATTACATATCAATTTGTGTGCCTACTGTTGTGTACTATGTAACTGCTGTCAAACAGCGCAGTCAGTATTCTCAATTCAGGAACATGAATAACAAGTCATAATATTGTACACAAAATAGAATTATAACATTTACATGATCATTGTCCACTATAGGAGCAACTTCATTCTCATCAGGCCAGGGAGTGTTTTCAAAATACTGCTCAGTCAGTTTGGGAAATGTGTTTTCATACAAGTTCAAAATCTCATATGTAACACCCTCAGTGATCATGTTGCGGAAATACACAAGGAATTTCTTCACCTGGAAACAAATAAGCATTAATTTACCACTTCCTGGTATACCAAAATTTCTAAGCATATAATATCAATTTTCACTTCAGTGTTGTTCACTTTGTTAGCTATAAATATCTAAATTTTAAATTTGAACATTAAGATCATTTTGACGCTGACTGTACATATAGGCCAACTTCAAAACGATTAAAAGTAAAATCCATACAGTCAGCAGCAAAGATTTTAATTATCTAAAATCTTTGGTTGGCAGTGTGTAATTGAATAATGCATTGTAAAAATGGGATACTCACCATCTCAGGCATTTTGTAATAGGATCTATCGTACTCCAAGTCATACTGGGGATCTCCCGTATGAGGCTCATAATCGCCATAAGATTCGAAACCTCCCTAAAACATACAATCATTTATGTAGTCGCATTGAAAGGACTAAGAGTGATGCTTACGTTTGCAAAAGCAAATTATTTGTGAGATCTTCTAAATAGGTTATGTGACTAACCTCATTGTAATCGTCGCTAGAGTACATTCTGAAATATCTTAACGCACAATAACTTTAGTAATATAACAATTATTATAATTCATCAAAATCGTAGAAAGTCCAAACGAAGTGAATGAAAAAAAACGGAGAGGTTATATTAGGTTAGACGAGATGAGTGTGTTTTCTTTTTCTTCATATTAAAAAAAAATCGCAAGACGTCAACTTTCCATTCTCATTGTCTATTGGTCCAAATAGGTTGTTCTATGCTAAAATTAAAGCAAATAATATACCAATCGTCATGCAAATTGACACACATGGAAAACAGTTTAAGAACCGGAATTTTTTTGAAAATGAAATTTGCATTGATTTGATTCACAAACTACATAAAAAAAAGAAAATTAATATGATGGCTTATAGAACTTATGTACAAGTCAAAACTCTTAATAAAAAAATTAAATGAAAATGTCAATGTCACACATTCATTCATTGTTTGACATGACAATTGACAAGAAAAACTAAAATTTTCTTTGCGCCGCAATTTCACTACGAGCTGAAATATTAAGAAGAATAATCCAATATCTTCCTAATTTGTGGAATAATATATAAATTGAATTTCAAAAATGCTTGCAAAAAACATACCAAATCTATTTTTAAGAAGCGCATATTTCTGCAAAAATTCATCGATCGTGAGGAATTTTTCTGTAACATCTGTAAATGGCGAATCTGTGAAAATCCAGAGCACTGATGATTTCAAACAGAAAGTTATCAACAGCAAAGTCCCCGTCGTCGTTGATTTCTTTGCTACGTACGTACAATTTTTTTATCTTCAGTCTCTAGACTAAGCTCAATAAAATTTTATTATTCTTGGATAAGTCCAATGACAGTTACTTAAAGTAAGGGACACTTTGGAAGTGATACGTAGGTACAAAGTCAAGAACATCAAGCTTGATACTTAAGATTTAAAGTCGACTCCATGCCACTTTTAGTAAGAATAGTCCAGTGTCCAGTTTAAAATGCTCTTGACTAGAATGAAAGGCGACCTAATGTTATGCATATCATTTCATGCTTGTGTGTATATATATACACTCCCGGACACATAATTCGAGCCACCTCGCATCCGTATTAAATGCCCTAAGCTTAAACAATGTTCGATTGATTAAGAACTATCCTAGGCAATTTTGAAACTAGTATATTGAAAGTCTTTTCCATAAGCCCTTGTTGTAAATTTGGACTTGCAAAACCGGAGGAAACCGTTTTCTTCGATGATAACACTATTTTTATATTCTAGCCCTTTAAGGCAAAAACGCGAGGTGGCTCGAATTATGTGACCGGGAGTATATATATACAGCCATGGCCAAAAGTATTGAGCACCCTAAAAATCCCGAACGGGCACAATAAGTATTGCAGAAAACAGGTCCTATTGTTAAGGATTATTTTTTCGGCATCTACAAAGATTTAAAAACAATGACCCTCACACCGTAACTAGCAATAAGACACCTGGTGCCATAAAATTTGTCATTTTACGATTTTTGTATTTATTTCTCAGTTCACTACTATCATTCGTTACGTACACATCCAGTGATCTAGTGCGCTTTTGGTATTTTGTTTAGTTCCATTTAGTGATATTGTTGCAATATGCCTAAAAACAACGAACTTAGTTTAGAACAACGTGTGCAGATACAACTACTGCATGAGCAAGGGAAATCACAGGTAGAGATTTGTAAAACTGCGAAATGTTCGCGCCGATCTGTGCAATTAACTATTGAGCGATTCGCCGCTACTGGGTCCCATAGTAACAGATACAGAACAGGGCGCAAACGCATCACCACAGATCGTGAGGACCGAAAGTTAATGAGAGAGTCGTTAAATTGACCTTAAAATATCAAAGTTTCACCAAAGAAGATTGGTCAAATGTCATGTGGTCAGACGAGTCAAACTTTGAGGTGAGTTAGACAATTTCATGTTCTTAAGATATTAAACAATGTGATTTGAAAATAAAATTCAATAACAAAAATATTTTAGATTTCCGAAGTCACTACATTTTTTAAAAATTTCAGATTTTTGGCACACCTGGTGTGACTTTTGTGCGCCGCCGGGCAGGCGAAGAATTTAGTCCAGCCTGTATAGTGCCAACCGTAAAACACGGCGGAGGCAGCATAATGATCTGGGGCTGCATGACTGATTCAGGAGTTGGCGAAATGTTTGTGTGTGAGGGTCGCATGAACTCTTCAAATCAATGTCCTGGAATCTGCGTTGCTGCCCTCATTTTCAACTCTTTTTGGCGATACAAATATGGATGGCGTCAAATTCCAGCAGGATAACGCGCCATGTCATATATCTGCCAGCACTATGACATGGTTTAGAGAAAAAACATTGAGCTTCTGGAGTGGCCTGCCCAGTCTCCGGACCTAAACCCCATAACATTTATGGGGTTTATTAAAGCGCAACATCAGGCGCCACCCAATAAATACAAAGGAAGAACTAAAACGCCGTCTGCGCCAAGAATGGAACGCTATACGTCCTGAAGACTGTAAAAATCTTGTCCGCTCTCTACCAAAAATAATTTCTGCCGTAATTAAGGCAAAGGGTGGACACACGAAATATTGATTTTTATTTAATAAATAGTAATATTAACATGTGTAAATTGTTTCAAATTATTTCATTTTCATATTCCCCAAAAAACTGTGAGTTATCATGGGTGCTCAATACTTTTGGCCAAGGCTGTATATATATATATATATATATATATATATAGCTATTCTTATGAGAAAGACATTTGTAAATTTTAAGTAGCAACATTGTCTCAAAATATTTTAATTACAAATTTCAGTTGGTGTAACCCTTGCAAGTTACTAACACCCCGCTTGGAATCAGTTATCTCTGAGAATAAAGGAAAAGTTGTTTTGGCAAAAGTGGACATAGATGAACAAACAGACCTCGCTCTTGACTACGATGTAAGCTCAGTGCCTGTACTACTTGCAGTCAAGAATGGTAAAGTGCAACAACGCTTGGTGGGCCTACAGGACACTGACAAGTTACGCAAATTTGTTGAGCAAGTGATCACTCCAGAAACCGAAGTCAAGGAGGCCAAGGCTTAAATTACCAACTAGTTCTGAATTGTGATAAAGTATTGTTTGTTAAAATTGTGTAGTTCTAATAAAGTATCTAAAAGAAATCAACATTTTATTCTTGTAAACTTTGTATTATATCCCTAGCTCTCTTATAACTAGTGTCATCTGGTTTTTCTGGTTTGGGTGCAGGTGCATCATCATTTGCATCTGAATTTTTAGTCCCATCACCTTCAGGCTTGTCCTTTTTATCAGTACTGTTTTGAAACTCTGTCCATTCATCCATTGTTTTGATCACCTTATTGGCATCTTCAAGTAACAGGTTGCGAATGTTACCTTGTGCAGATTCAAAGTATTCTAAAAGAGTCTGCCAGGAGGAGTCTGGTACCAAGTGGGAAGAAAATTTGTTTTTGTATAACCACACCTGTTTGGCTTTCATAAACTTCCAGTTTTGTCTATCGTGTTTCCATTGCGACAAGTAACTAATGCATTGGGATTTGAGTTCATCTTTCGCAGCAGCTTGAGCTTCTGCTTGTCGTTGAGCATGTTTTTCCCGCTTCATTTGTCTTATCGACTTTTTGCCCTTGTGGTCCGATCTGTTCGTGGCTATAGGCTGCTTTTTCTTCTTCTTCTTTGAAGCATCTTCTATGTCGGAATCGTCTTCTGAAATTTTTCTTTTGAGGCTTTTATAATTTGGCCCGTCACTTTGGGGCTCATCTTCCGCATCCTCTTCAACATTTTCGGTATCTTCAGAGAACTTTTCTTCGTTTTTGTATTTGTTATGTTTATTCCTGAGCTTATTCTTTCGTTTTTCCTTATTTTTGTTGGGCATTTTTAATTTCTTATATACTTAAAAACCACAGCCACAAACTTCACATTACTTTTTAGGTTATTACTTTATTTTTAAATGTAGTATAGTGGCTTGGCGGTAAAGATTTTGAGCAAATAATTTTTTTCGTGATTTTTTGCATTTCCCAGTTTTATATCGTTTTTATATACATTGTATATTATACGTAATATTTATTATAATTTAAGCACTTCGTTAACGATCAAATAATGTGACAAATTTGTCGTTCAAACTTCACGTTTTCTTCAAACAATGTCGCAAACGACCAAATTAACCATCAAACAAGTTTGACAAACTTGCCTGTACAGCTCGATCATCTTTTCTTATTGTACGTACTACACTATAGTTAATACAAGAGTTGTATTTCTTTGTAATTTATGCAATAAGTAAGAATAATAGAGCGTTTCTGGCATTAACTAAAAAACAAAAGAAATAAGAAATTTGCGTTGGTATTGAGAATGATTAACATTAAGAGAATAACACATCAACGAAAATTGAACCCGGGACCTCCTCACGTTGACCAAATTACGAGTCATCAATCAGTCTATCTTCGTTAATAGCTCCAGATAGTGAAATGTGACAAAATCAATTAGTACATATTATTATATGTACCTATATCTAAAACTATAGCTGTAGTAAGTAGCTTATTACCACTGTTCCATAATAAATTAAACGATTAAAAAAAGTGGTATGAAAAATATATTTACTTTACATACAGGTGAGCAAATTTCCCTGAAATCGTCACATTGAGTGAACATCGTGCTGATTATGAAGAAAAAGTTTTAGTTTATTTTACTTTTTATTGTAAGTTTAACTAAGAAATTATATTATGTTTGCATTACAAAAATTAGTTTCCTAATATATCATAGCGTAATGATTAAAAAATGGGAATTTAATAATAATTAATGTTTATTTTCAGGCAAAAATCCCATTTTACATACAAAGTTGCATAATATAACAGTAATAACATTATACAAGAATAAAATATATGATATGAAACGAAACGAAACGAAACGAAACGGGACGAGACGAGACGAGACGAAACGAAACGAAACGAAACGAAACCAAATGAAACGAAACGAAACAAAACATAAATAAGGTATAACCCATAACAGGTCTTCGTCTAATCTATTTCCTGTTTGCGTCGCGGTGAATGGAACGTCAGTTCTTAAAATTTGGATCAGACATATCGGCGAAATAGCTCTCAGTATGCCGTTATCAGAACAACGTAATCTGTCCTAAAAGGAAGCAATACGAGCCCTGATAAAAGTAAACAGGTCAGGTAATCCCTCCTCGGCCAACATGTTCGATGCACTGCAGTAATGTGGTAACTTTACAAGAATGCGGAAAGCGTCATTGTATTGCACTCTTAGAGTACTTAGGCTCGCTCTTTTAAAGTTAACCCACAATTGGCAGATGTTAAAGCACTGGCAATAAGCCTGGAAAACGTCGGGGATGCGCTCCGGACCCTTTCCCGCAATAAAAAACACCAGTTTTGTGTCTCTAACATTATACTTCAACCCGTGCACATCAGCATAATGTTCACAGACTGATAGTATTTTCCTAAGTCCGTTGATCGATGGACTGAGGAGCACCATGTCATCTGCGTAGCTAAGATTATTTACACAAACACTCGCCAGATGGCATCCGACCTTGGTGCTCCTCAACTCGCCGATCAACCCATTTATGTAAATATTAAAAAGTCTGGAGAAGTCAATTCCCCTGGCGAACACCGCATTCTAACCTATCGACTGTGAACTGGCAATCGATACTAACACAATTTTGACAACTTTACAGGTGAAGAAAAAAAAAATTGATTGCGTCTTTTGTATAGCTCTGATTTATTTTATAAAAATACGTAATTTTTAAATATGTTTATTACACATACACTACGTATTTTTATTTAATAAACCAGATGCTGTCAATATTCCTTTGGCCTCCACACCATACATACATACATACATATAGTTATGATTTTAATTCAAATCGAATCGATCCGATCGAGTAGCCCATCCGCAATATTATACGCCTCGACTCAGTAAAAATGCAGTTTCCTATCGGGAGAGGCAATCAAAATCATGCTGCAGTACTTCAATAGATTTACCACCTTATTTGGCACCTGCGAGTCGTGTAATTTGTTCCAGAGAACCTCATAGTTCACTAAATCAAAGGCACGACTAAGATCCAGGAAATACGCATAGACTGAGGTTTCCCTGCAGGCATAGTAGTTTATAGTCTGTTTAAGACTCATGCTACACTGCGTCTATTTCCACCATCATGACGCTAAACAGAAGTGCATATCGCACTGGATTGCAAAACATGTACTATGTCTGAATAGAGACTGTCAATAAATTAGCATTCACATATTCAAGACACTCATACGTCTCACATTCTGCACAAAGCATAAAATCAATCACAGCCTCTAATTTCATTTTACAAAATTCGTAGTATTTTTCAATTAGACTACAATTGCGGGAGCCCCATCTGATTTTCAAAATTTCTTTTGGCATATTATATTCCGCACTATCTTTACAAATACTAATTCCGTCTAGCTTACAAACTATTTGAGGTGGAAAATGATTTGATGAGAAAACACCGTCCACTACTTCCACAGATAATATGGTTTTCCAGGCAGCCATTGATACTATACAATGATCCAGCTGTCTACGTGAACCGTGAGCGTCACTTACATTGGTGTATGTGTTGAATTCAGCGTACGGAGCTTGAATATCAGCACAAATTAATTCATGCTCCTCGCAAAAAGTTCCTTTCCAAACAAGGTATTCGGATGCGCATTGAAATCTCCCAACACGTACACCCCTGCAGCACCAACTTCATCAACGATGGCATTAATACTAGCCAAGCAGTCCGTAAAATCTGGCACATTATCTATTTTGTCCGTCGGCATGTAAACGTTACAAACTAACACCGAGCCGTCATCAAACACAATACGTATGGCCTGAATTCTGTTAGAGTTGCACTCAACGATCGACAGGAAATTGAGATTTTATCCACATTATTGCCAAACCACCGTAAGGTCTTCCTCTTAGCACACCCACTGACGTACCTACCGACGACATAGCGACACAGCCAAACTCAGCAACTAACTCGGCAGCAACCAGGCTTTTGCAGTGCAACCAAGTCGGCATTTACACATGGCTCTAGCATTTAAATAAATAAAATATGTTAAACACTAATGTGCAGTCAACACCACATCACACTATACTCTTTTGTTCGAATATAGCCTCGGAAGCAATGAAACAAGATCAGTAAATGCTTAGCTTGATAATATGCTGCCGTTCGTTCATTTTATTGTAATACGTATCATTAAAATATCCGAAAAATTGCTGCTTGTTGGATTTTTTTGCGTGGCAGAAATGGTATAAAAGAAGATCCCGACAGAATCCTAGAAAAGATCCCCGCGTTGTGATATGATTAATATTGCATGCAACGCATTCATACTAAACTAGATACGATACAAAAGTATCAAGTGATGATGTATTTCGTGTAGTTAGTATATATTTATTTTAAATCATAATATTCCATGAATATATATATATATATATATATATATATATATAAAATCCTTCAAATCTTAAATCTTTTCTCCTTTCCTCTCATCCGTTTCCTAATGTAAGTAGTCTATAGCCATTATACATTAAAAAAAAAAGACGCTGGTACTGTGAGGGAGGGAGTTTGTTTACATCATAGAGTGGTTACACACGGCGACATTTAGCGATGCCAGTGATACAAACGCGCGATTTCATCGCGACACTAGCGATTTGAAACGCTATTTAGTCGCTTTGATAGACTCGGATAGAGCTCGTCCGGTTCTATCAATAAATGAGAAAACTGATTTTAATATTTCAATAAAGGTTTTTATTATTTATAACGTGAATAAAACACAACTTGACATGAAGAAAGTTCTACGAGGTAACAAAGTAAATTTCAAAAAGAATAACTCTCAATGTCACACCGACCAGTATGTAAAGGATTGCACATCTGACACTACTCATCAATTATTTACACCTGGCTTTCCTTATACTATCAAAAAACCTTGTCAGTCATGAACACTTAGTACACACCCATTTCTCTACGGCAAAACTCATACTTGTCCTTTAACACTGCTTTCGTTAAAGCATCAGCAACCATGCACTTGGTTTCTAAATACTTGAGCTTTATAGTATCCTTTTCTAATGCTTCTCTAATAAAATAATAGCGAACATCAACACGTTTTGTTTGCTGATGTTGCACCGGATTTAGGGCTATTGCCATAGCAGATTGACTATCTGTATGTATCGTGATAGGCAACTCCTCCTTGCCCGTGATTTCATTCAGAAATCGCTGTAGAAATATGGCTTCTTTTGTAGCTTCTGATAAGCTGATGTACTCGGCTTCAGCTGTCGATAAGGGTGTACATCTTTGCTTGGTGCTCTGCCAAGAGTTGGCTCCATTTGCCATCTTGAACACATTGCCGGAGTATGTACCTTCTGTCTTTTATATTTCCAGCGTAATCAGCATCTGCAAAACCTTGAATATTTCTACAAGGCACGTCTTTAGAGAATACAAGTCCCATGCTCTTGGTACCCTTTAAGTATCTCAACATCCTTTTAACTGCGATCCAGAGCACTACACACATTATAACAATTGCAAAATTGACTTATGAAGTTTACTGCATGTGCTATATCTGGCCTTGAACATACAGCTATATACATCAGTGAGGCTATCAGCTCTCTGTAGGCAAAGTTTTCATTTGTACACTCCCTCCCTTTTTCAAATCGTTGTCCAGGAGCTGCTGGTGTACTAACTGCCTTGCAGTTTTTCATCTTGAACCTGTGAAGAAGCTTTTCAATGTAACTATCTTGCTTGATTTTAATGCAACCTTTTTCTTGTTGGATCTCTACCCCAAGAACTAGTTCAGCTTTTCCAAGATCCTTCATTTCGCATTTTGTTTTTAATAATTCCTTAACATTTTGCATCTTCCTCTCATTGTTGTAGAAAATGAGAATGTCATGTACATAAACGGCTAATATTATTAAATCCTTTCCTGTAGACCTCATGTACACACCGGATTCATGTTTTCAGCGCTTGAACTTGAGGCTCTCTAGCTCAATATGCAATTTAAGGTTCCAGAAACGTGGCGCTTGCTTCAGTCCGTAAAGAGATTTATTTAACAAGCACACGTGCTCTTCTTTTCCTTTTTCTGTTTACAGAAATGGCTATGGCTGCTGCATGTAAACTTTCTCATTTAGATCACCATTTAAGAACGCGGTTTTAACGTCCATGTGATCTATTTTTAGACCTAGGTTGGCCGCCAAAGCTATGAGCATTCTTGACGAGCTATGTCTCAAAACAGGAGCAAACGTCTCGTCGTAATCAATGCTTTAGCAAATTATTTGGCTAAAGCCTCGTGCAATCAAACGAGGCTTGTAACGGGTAGTATTCCCCGCTTCCTTTTTGATTCGAAATATCCATCACAAATATCACTTTGTAAAAATTTACTCTCAGTGCCAAAAATGACAGAACAGGGAGCTTCTGTAACTTTTAAAAAAGATAAAGCGTTCGTACGCAACAAGACAGGAGATTTGGTTATGACTGCGGAAAAATGTCAAAACAGTGGTCTCTACTATGTCAAGTCGCAAACCATCGAACAAAATTACGCAGCTACATTTGAAACAATTTCAAACAGTGCGAAGAAAAACTCCTTACTGGAATGGCACAGGAAGCTTGGACATATGAACGACAAAGATCTGCGTCTAGCTCTCAACAAGGAGACTTTGATTGGATTATACTTTGACAAAAAAGAGTCTCTGTCCGACTGTGACGCATGCATTCAAGCTAAAATGACTCGCGTACCAAGCCCTCCACAAAGAACAACTCCTAGAACAACTGAACGTTTGGAGATTGTCCACAGTGACGTGTGTGGTCCTATCACACCTTCTAATGGAAAGAACCGCTACTTCATCACTTTTATAGACGATTACAGTAGATATGGACGTGTCTACTTTATGAAAAACAAATCTGAAGTACTAAATCACTTCAAAACATACAAACGAGAAATGGAAACATTTACTGGAAATAAAGTCAAGCACCTGCAAACAGTTAACGGCACAGAATATGTCAACGGCAAATTTCAAGCCTATCTTCAGGAAAATGGAATAGTAAGACGCTGATCCGCACCTTATACCCCTCACCAGAACGGAATTGCTGAACGCAAAAATCGTACACTGCTGGAGAAAGCTAGAGCAATGCTAATAGACGCCAAAGCACCTATGTTTCTATGGGCGGAAGCCATAAATACGGCGAACTATTTATCCAATAGAAGCATAAACAGTGCTATAGAAAACAGAACGCCATTTGAAAAATGGGTACTAAGAAAACCGTGCGTCAATCATCTCCAGACTTTTGGAACTAAGCTTTTGTGCTTATAAAAGGTCGTGCTAAAGGTCCTAAATTTGCACCTAAAGCGATTCCAGGAGTATTTGTTGGGTACTCTGACACAAGCAAAGCATACAGGGTATATGTTCCTACCAAACGCAAGATATTTAGTTCCAAAGATGTAAGAATTGTCCAGACAAATTTTTACTCAAATACTACCAACAATTTTGACAATCTTACTCAGTCTGTTTCGACCACTCCAACAATTGAATTGAACATTGAAGATACTCAAGATCTACGACAAGATACAAATTCAATTCGAATTGCTCCAGATTCCACTCAAGAAATAGGTGTCATTGATCAAGAATATGACACGGAAGATGAACAGCAAGAATTCTACGAAGTTCCTGATCACGATTCTGAACCCGAATCGAACGAACATGAATCTGAACACGAAATTCCACCACATGAGCTGGGGCAATATAATCTGAGAAACAGATCAGCAATACAGCGACCACAACGGTATGATAACTTTGTACTGGAAGCTGTCGCTGAAGTCGAAAACCTACCGAAGGATCCAGAAACTTATAAACAAGCTATGGAATCTCCTTATAAAGATAAATGGCTCAAAGTGAGATAAATTCACTACACGAAAATCAGACATGGGATTTAGTGAATTTGCCTAAAGGAAGAAAAGCTTTACCTTGCAAATGGATTTATAAATTGAAAACGAATCCAGACGGTTCAATAGATAAATTTAAAGCAAGGATAGTTGTTAAATGCTACTCCCAACAACAAGGCGTGGACTATGACAAGACATTTAGTCCTGTAGCCCGCCTTAGCACAATTCGAGCAATAATAGCAATTGCGGTTAAAGAAAATTTAAAGTTGCGACAATTTGACGTAGCAACTACCTTCCTTAATGGATCAGTCAAAGAAGAAATCTATGTGAAACAGCCTGAAGGGTTTCACGACGGAACCAAACGAGTCTGTAAACTCAAACGCAGCTTATACGGACTGAAACAGGCGCCGCGCTGCTGGAATTCGTGCATAGCCGAGTTTTTACAAGAGGTTGGCTTTCAACAAAGTGAAGCAGATCCCTGCCTATACGTTAGAATTAAAGGACGGTCCAAAGTCTTGATTGGATTATACTATATCGATGACGGGCTAGTTGCGCATAATTCAACTGCAGCAGGAGACGAGTTCATAGATGAACTGAAAGCCAGATTTAAAATTACTACCAAACCTGCCTCTTATTTTCTAGGAATGGAAATTAACGTGTGGGACGTTCACACTATCACAATTTCTCAAAAAGCCTATACAAAGAAAGTGCTACAAAAATACGGCATGACTAATTGCAATGCAGCACCAACTCCTATAACGAAAGAAAATTATACGGGAGAGGAAGAGGAAGCAAATGGAAAATTTCCTTATAGACAAGCCGTTGGTGCACTGGAATACCTATCAGTGGGCACTAGACCAGATATCTCATACGCTGTAAGTGTTGCGTCTAGGAACCTTGGAGCACCTGAAAGAAAGGATGTTGTACTGGTTAAACGTATATTCAGGTATCTAAAAGGGACACTAAACAATGGCCTTACGTTTACGGCGAAGTCACCTCCACATTTAGTTTGCTACAGTGATGCAGACCTGGCTGGCGATCAAACAACTGGACGATCGACGTCGGGATACGTTTGCATGTACTCCGGAGCCGCTTTAAGCTGGAGAAGCCAAAGACAAGGGACTGTCTCAATCTCGTCGGCAGAGGCAGAAATAATGGCTGCCAGTGAAACCGCACAAGAAATATTGTGGCTGAATGCCCTATTAAAGGATATAATCTCCTTAGAAAAACCCGTACTCTACTTGGACAATGAATCGGCTGTGAAACTATCTCATAATCCAAAATATGAGTATCACAAACGTACTAAACATATTAAACTCAAGCATCTCTTTGTATGTGAGTGTGTCACCAATGGGGAACTAGTGAAACAAGTTCCATCTACAACACAATTGGCAGATATGCTCACTAAGCCATTGTACGGTCCAAGATTGGAAGATTTGAGTGGAAAAATTGGACTTAAAAGAATTTCTACATAGAATTACCAAATTCTTAAAAGTTCAGAGGGTGTGAAGAGAATGCATATTCCATCACTCTTCATTGTCTATGCTGTAGGTTGCTATGGTCCAGACCCCGACATAGTTACTCATTTCTGTAACTAGAGTATTATAGGAATTTGGTTAATCCCACCATTAATTTCTCTATAATTCATATTACATAATCACGTTCGTACACTTTTTGTAGGTACTAAATCTGTTCACTCAATATTTAGTAGCTGCTGGTTCCCATAACCTGATAGAGCTCCTCCGGCTCTATCAATAAATGAGAAAACTGATTTTAATATTTTAGTAAAGGTTTTTATTAAATTATATGTAACGTGAATAAAACACAACTTGACATAAAGAGAGTTCTACGAGGTAAGAAAGTAAATTTCAAAAAGAATAACTCTCAATGTCACACAGGCTAGTATGTAAAATATTGCACATCAATGTTCTGACAGACTCATGTGCGAAAAATCTGTATAGGTTTCTGCACATTGTTTTGTTTTGTTAATTGTACATTTAAAAGTGAAATTAAGAAACTAAATAAATAAATAGGCAAATGAAAAACTTACATCGCGTTTGTATTGCTGCTCTAGTCGCGCGTTTGTCTAAAGTTAGACGACTAGCGACTGTATTAGAAAGTGACGATGAAGTCGACGATTGAGCATGCACACCTAAATAATTCCTGTTCACTCTTGCCTTGAAAAGGTCCAAGTTATGTTATTAACGTTCAGGGAACGAATCTGCAGGCAGGGAATTCCACTCCGTAGCCGTTTGCCATATTAATATGGAAGCGTAACGCGTAACGCTTCGTGCGAATCTTTGGAATATCACAACAACGACTAAATCGCTGCAGACGCGCTGCTAACAGGTGCCGTATGTAACTGCTCTTAGGTATTTATTATATAGTGAGCTAGTGAGTGAGTACAAAGGCAAAGAGATACTAGGGTACATTATATTATCTTCCTAATTTGTGATACTTGATACTACGTAAGTAAATAGTGAGTAATATTATTCTATGATCACATAACAATAATTTTTTTCGTAGGTTTCATTATATTGTTTTGTACTGAAAAGAGCTTATCGTTACAAACTTTTATTCTCTATACCTTCAAGACCCCTTAGTTTCCAAAGTGGTCCAGGAGGACCCCCAGAGGTCCACGGGAGACTCGACGGGGGTCTACGTTGGCAAAAAATAATGGAATATGAAAATGTAGCTGCAGGGGGTTCAACAGAACCAGCTAAATTTTGAAAGTGGTCTATGAGAAAAAGTCTTTTAAAACTTAAGCCCTCTATTTTTTTGAAAGGAAATACCTATTTTATGAAAAAAATACATTGAAACACCATTCATTTGGTTTACATACAGTTTGGGAAAATTCCGTCAACGATAAACGCAACCTTTGTCTAGATAAGGCTGTTTAGTATAATTATATCAAATGGAACTCAAGAAAATTCGCGCAATCCTTTATGCAGGATAATGGAACCACTCCAAGAAATTCACCGGGATCAGTGGCCCCAACTTCTCAAAATTTTTGAACAGGATTGGCCTCTGAATGTTGTAGCTTATTGTATACTGGACACTCAAATATCCAATCCTGAACTAAGTACACCATTTAAATTCAGAATTTACGCTCCAGATGGTAATCTTGAATACGGAATGATTGCAATGATAGAAATGGTAAGATTTTTTTTTTCAATAATTATGTGTGGGATGTACGGTCAGTTTAAACTATTTCAGCTGGGGTATTTTTAACCATGCCTACACACTGATTTTGGACACGGGACACTGTTTTGAACCAGCACATTGCCATTAGGTACTGGTAGGTCTCCAAAACGGAGAACAGTTTTAACATAATACAAAAGCAAGTAGGTACTATGGTAACGCAACGCGAAGTCCAGGTGCACGTTTGGCGAGTGTCTTCGTTGTAGTGTTATAGCTAGATCGGTACAATCGACGATTTCGCCAAGTTAAAAGTATTAAAATTTCTATCAAGTCATAAAGAGGATAAAGCAAGAAATTCCCATACAAAAGTTCCGGCGACTTTAATTCAAGTTGTTTTTTTAAGTGTTAGATTCCGATTAAAAGCTTTTGGGCGTTTATCTTTTGTTTTCGTAGAGGTTAATTTCACATTCGTTTAGACATTTTGGAAAAGCATCGATGCGTGTTGAATAAATTCGTGAAATTATTGAATACGCGTTCCATTTTTTTAAAGCAAATTGACTTACTCAGAGAAAGTGATCAACCACTACCTAGCCGTGGAGCTAAGATAGGGTCTACGATGGAACGAGCTCGCCAAGAAGATGCCTATCTATCTATCTATGGTCGCTATGCGCACTGCATCAGGGGTCTACTCCCGTTCTCTGTCCGACTTCCGTCTAAAACAATTACTGTCAAATAAGTATTACTCGACCAAATAAAAAAAACAATGTTAATTATGAAGCTTCATTCGTATCATGTGTCTTTTAATTTGGTCGAGTATTAATCATTCAACAATAATTGTTTCGGACTGATCTCGAACAGAGAACGTGAATAGTAGAACGTGAACCCCCAGTTCCGAATCCGAGAAATGACGATCCGAATTGTCACAGGGAACACTTATCTTTAGGTGTATAAGCGATATTCGTATTTTCTCGGATTCAAAGCGGACTTACTCCACAAGCGACATCCCAAGTGGGGTCCGAGTTTTCTAGATTTGTATAGTCTCGGATTCGAAACGAATAGGAATCGGATGCAGTGCACAAAACGCGCTAAAGATATTCGAGTTCTATGCGCAACATGGCATTAATACAGTGCAAACGGCTCCAAACACGCGTGTATCGACATACATTCAGCTGATTACAATAAAAGTGACTTTCACAACACAGTTCAACTTAGTTTAGCTAATCTGGCGAATCAACGTCTCCGCCTCCATATTTTTTGACCAAAATCAGTGGTGCCATTATTTAAACATTAATCTCCACAAATTACTCTGACCGTCAAACCTAACATGATACAATTTTAATTAACGCACCGTGCGTTTTTGCTTTGCCCGAGCTATGTAGCAGTTGAAATTTTAACCTGGCAAATGAGCCTCGAGAACGACGAAGTTGTGTCCAATAGCACACAACTCCTCCAATTATTTAGTTATTCTTGAATCAGCAGTATGATTTTATGTAACGATATATCCACAATACTGACCTAGGTACTTGCACCAAAACGGGGAAAAAAAATTGAAAAATGGGTACGTACCACGCGAATTGTTCGCGCCCAACGGGCAAGGCGATAAAGCTTGCACCGACTACCACTTAACGAATCGACACAGATTTTTTCACACTTTTTTTGGTTTCAATTCTGTTGTAATACTGTTGTATCAGAATGGTAATTTTCTACGTTGAACTGTATTAGCTAGAACCCCAATTTGACATGTTTGTCGATTAAAAAAACAAATGTTAAATTCAGAAAAAAAAATTTTACCATTGTCCTGTACAGAATGGCAATTTTCTACTTGGATAGAATTCTACTACAACCCCGACTTGACCGAATTGCTAACTATCGTATTTCGATTCCTACGCCACGCCACGCCCGATTTCTAGGATCATGTCACGACTCTGCAAAGTAGCCAATAATGCCATAAGCCTTGGGTGTTATCATGTCGCGCATTTGCGCAGTTTCATGATGCTGGGGTGGCAGTAGTTATGCTACTATACGGTTTCGTATCAAGCTGTAAAGGCTGGAATAATGCACGGTTATCTGGAACCCTGATAAAGCTCAATACCGACTCCTCTTTCCCTTTGTATATATAAAAGAATGTAACCGTACTCACTGCTCATTCTTTCTTTATGGCAGCATTAGCATTATGCAAAACAAATCTAACGTATCTAAAATATCAAATTTGTAAGTAGATAAGTTATTACCATGTAAGCGTTTAGTTGTATTGTAATCTTAAGGTACCTCTCGGTTTTATTTTATAAATAAATAGATAAAGGTTCGTATTTTACCTCAAGTAGTTTAATTATCTCATAAGATAATCCTCATTTGTGTTACAATTTGAGGGATCACTAATGTTCAATTTATTGCTCATTTCAATTCAAATTTAATACGATTGGGATTATTTTTGACCGGCTTCTGAAAAGGATAGTCTCATAAGTGTCACGCCATGTGCATGGTTTTCTAATTAATTAAGCTTTATTTGGATAAATATCACATAATCAATGCAAATTCAAAGTGGTTTCAGTACCTTGTTTTCATTATTTTTTTTCAACTCATGTGCAGTTCACCTATAAAGAAGTAACAATACATCCAACTAAAGGAAGCAGAAAAATAATAGAAAAGGCATTATTAGAAACAAATGTAATAAATTGGAGTCAGGAATTCTACATCTCAGCTGCTAGTGACGAGGTTGTGCAATGTCTGGAGAATATTAAGGATCGAAAAGGAATTACATTATCTTACAATAATACAAATGAACCTCCGACATACATGCAAATGTTGAATAATGATGCAAACTTGTATGAAAATGTATCGTAAGTGACTGATTTATGTCTTCTGCGGCAGCAAAACATAGTCAGGAAATCTCCTTATCATAACTAACGCATTTGCATATTTTTTTTGATTTTGCTAAACAATAAAATGAAACTAAATAACATATAAGAAAAACCACTTACATCTCGTTTCGCTGATTTCAAATTTATGGTACCATGTTAGTAACTCGAGTTTCGCCAAAAATGTCAGTTAGTAAAGAGTAAAGTTATGATAAGGAGAGGAGAAAAAAATTATAATAAATAAAAGGACTATAAAAATACATTGTTGAACGTTAACGTAAGTACTACTACCGCCGTCACAACGAGTTTTAATTATTTTTTTCTCTACAGATGTCCATCGAATACCTACGTTGGTTCTTTAAAACCTGAAGACATAGAAATCGTAGATCAGTGTTGGACTTATCACAGCGCGTTTTCTCATCGTGTCTTGAAAATTTTAATGGAAAATGATTTAACATACGTTCTTTATTCGTATGAAAATAAACCTCTTGCATGGATTGTCATCAATGAGTTCGGTGCTTTATCGCGATTATTTTGTATTGAAGAACAGAGAGGAAAAGGTTATGGTGAACTCATTGCAAAATATGCTGTAAATGAGTGGTTAAAGAAAGGTAAAGTAGCCTTGGGATTTACTATAGATGGAAATTATAAAGCTGAAAATTTGTTTCGTAAATTAAATTTTGAAAATGTAGGAACCGTTTACTGGGTTAAAGTAAACAAAAATAAATAAACACGAAATTTTTTTACGTCTATTTCATTTTGTGTCATCATTTATGGACCTAAACTAAACTGTATGTTTATAGTAATAAATAATTAGAACTGTGAGAAGGGATTTTAAAACAGCTTTTCTTTGGGCCACATGTTTGTTACGTTACAAGGGCTGCAACATTTTTGGGTGATGACCATTTTTTTACGTTTATGGGAACCTGATTTAACATTTATTCCCTATAAATAAAATATAAAACCTAAATATATCAATATTAAAAAAAACTAAATACAGTACGATGTCAGTGGGTGGCCAGCGAACAAGCTCAAGCGCCGAAGAGGGTGGAAGATAAGATTTTTATCAAAATCTTTAAAACCCTAATAATAGTGTTTCCGGCTGCACATGGAAGCTTGGCGAGCCGCAGGGTTAGTATGGTTGGTTTAGAATAAGGAACTCATGATTCGTAAGTATGCGATATCAAATTGAATCACACAACTACACCATTAACATTTCAATTTCAATTTCAATTTCAATTGTTTATTGCATATCACATTACAAAAATGGAACATTAATTGATGGTATACATGCGACGCCCTGCAAGGGTACAGCAACATCTGAGGGCTAAATTCATAAATCACGCTATTTAATTATATTAAATTATTACATTACAACATAATACCATAACATTACATTATTATATCACATTATTACATTGCATTATTCTTAATTAGAAAACTTACTTTATACAAACCATTAATTTCAATAATTATTAATAAGAGATGTCGAAGTATTTTTATTTGTATTATTATTGTTATTTGTCATCATACGTACCATCAAAACTTCATGTAAGTCATAATAACATTTATTAACAAGAAATGCCTTTAGTTCTTTAGTAAATTGTGCAAGTCTTTCCAGGTTTTTGATATAATTTGGTATGTGGTTATAAATTCCAATTAACATGGTGTGCAAGCCAGACGTAACTAATTTCATTTTGGAAACAGGTACTCTAAGCTTGTTTAAGTTTCTGTTATTTCGTTTATCGTTCGTTAGACGTGAATAAAAACTGTGGGTGCTTCCTAACAAATTTACATGACTCGAGAATGTAGAGAGCAGTAACGGTCAGTATTTTGCACTTAACAAAATGAGATCTACAAGATTCCTTTTAGTCTATATTCGTTATTATCCTTATATACTTTTTTTGCAGTATGAACACCTTGTCCACATCACAGGAATTTCCTCATAAAATAACACCATACGATAGCATTGAACGCGCGTGTGCATAATAAGCCGCAAGGAAGGTCCTATAGTCTGTTACACGTTTAAGGTGTTGTAGTGCGTAAATAAAAGAAGATAGTTTATTTAGTATTTTTGTACATGTTCTTTCCAATTCAAATGTGTATCCAGATCTATTCCTAGCAATGTAGCAGAATTTAGAATTTCTATTTTAGTATTTCTATATTTATACGATATTTGTAATGCTGATTTTTGATAGGGTTTGAATTGGATGATTTTAGTTTTGTTGAGGTTAAGTTGCAAGTTGTGTATACCTAGCCAGCTTACAATTTTATCTAATGTTAAATTTAATTTTATTTCTAGATAGAACATCTTATTCCAAAGACCACAAATTACACTGCATATTTGAATTTTTATCCGTGTATCCCAATAAAGAAAACTATTTCACAGCTAGAGTAGAGTAGAACAAATTCAAAAAGTATGTGGGAGCACAGGTGTATCAGGAAAAAATAATTTTGAGACTACGGTACGTGTTACAACACAATAACATTGTTTTTTTAATCTCATACAAACTCTTTTAACACGAAGTTAATTTCTGTAGCGTTGATAAACAGCGTAGGCCATAGATTTAGTAATAAATCTATGGCGTAGACGCGTGGACCCAAGGTTTGCGCTGTTTATCGCTAATGATCTTAATTACCTGTCTTGAATATGGTATGGTATTGGTGTATCGGTCTGGTGTGGTGCCTATTTTGCATGTCTTGAGTATTTCATTTCGAATTCAAGATAAGCTAATCTTCAACCATAAAAAAATACGACCAGCGTCTTCTTCACTCTACACTAGTCTACCCGATACCCGTCTAAACTCTCTCATATACTCACTCAGTATGTATATACTGGATTAATATACTATTAGAGGTTTGACCACTCTCGGAACCGTTGCCGAGTAGACATCTACCTCGGACAATCTCTCCAATTATAAATAAAATAGGTCAATCGTCGAATCCGACTCGGTTGGGCAGCTTTCGAAAAGCTCCGGGAAGTCTTCTCGTCAGTAATACCGCAGTCCTTAAAGACAAAATTCTTCGAATAGTGCGTGTTGCCAGCGATGATCTACGGCTCTAAGACGTGGTCACTTACTATGGGCCTCATAAAAAAGCTCAAAGTCACTCAACGAGCTACAGAGCGAGTAATGCTCGGCATTTCTATACGTGATCGAATCAGAAATGGCGAGAGCCGTAGAAGAAACGATAGTCACCGACATAGCTCGTAGAACTGATGGTGGTTGGGGCAGAAAGGTACTAGAGTGGAGACCTCGAACCGGAAATGACCGGAAGGCGTTCAGCGGGACGGCTCAAGATGGACGGATAACCGGTAAGGGCGGCGGGTAGCCGACGGATTCACGTCGTGTCTGACCGGCTAGTCTGGCAATCTTCGGGGGATGCCTGTGAGGCTGTGGACGTCTCCTTGCTGATAATTATGATGATGATGAACCACCCCCTGCCCACTACCTCCCGTCTATATATTCTTTGTAAATAGTCCGAAACATGTCGCGTAGTTCTAAATCAAAAAATCGTCCAATCAAAGATAGACGACGTGAGACTCGTGGTTCTCATGCTCGACGCTGTGATGATGATGTGAAGGGTCGTTTTCAGATAACCTCCAAAAATGTGTCCCTTTCAATAACTTTTATGTAATTACATGAATGAATAAGCATTATTTATTTAATATGATTGCTTGCTTACACAGATTACTGTGTTACACATAAAAAGACTACTTCACTACGTCACAGTAATAAATAAAAATGAAAAAAGTGGGCACTTTCTCATTCATGGGAGCCGGTTCCACGTCGTAAGGTTCCACGAAGAAATAATTAAACACTCGTGGAAATCGCAATATTTCCCGTCGAGGATAAACTCTAATAACTTTCACGTCGGATACATACCGTAACTTTCCAATTTATTATAAACAATGTTTTATTGGGAATACAAAATGTGTTTCAATTTTTCTTACCATTAGTGTCACTTCAACTAAAAGCCTCTTAATAACAAAAGTTAATACCGCATCACCTTCACCCTTCGCACACGTGAGAATCCTGTCAGATTGGAGTGTACACAGTGAAGTAACCTGTGCATCTCCGTTTTAGCAAAAAATCGCCTTAAATACCAATTTCAGCGCTAGTGACTAAATCGTTCTCATTCATGTAAAGCAATCTATCTAAATAAATATTAAGTAATAGTTTTATAAAATTTATTGTATATCAATCAGACAAAGGAACTTTAAAATCCATGCACTTTTATAACGGTCCAACATATTTTACACACTTGACAATTAAAAATGTATTCAAATATCATTATTGTCGCTCTCGTTCTTGTCTACTTTTAAGTCAAATAGTTACAACTACTACCAAACATTTACTTGAAATATAACAGTTAGATGGTGATAGTAGTGGTGATGACGGTGGTGACGATGATGATGGTGATGATGATGACGATGATGATGGTGGTGATGATGACGATGATTGTGATGATGATGGGAATAGTAATGATGCTGATAATAATGGTGATCATGATGATGATGTTGACGGTGGTGATGATGATGTATTGATGTACAAGAAAGTTTATATGACATTAACAAAATACTTCTTTAGATTTATGTATTAATTACATATAGATAGATAGATGGTCTTACACGGATGAGAAGGATTTTGATACAAGAAGTTATATTAAAATATTTCTTAAATGTTAAATGTTCTTTTTTAAACGATAAAATGTGTGTTGTAATAATAATTTCTCATTACTGTGCCGTCTTTCTCATTTCATGTTTATGAGAAAATCATTCGTGTTACTGTAATCTCATTCGTGTGACCTAAAATATCGTTGTTTTTTTTTGTTGTATTTTACTTAAATATTTCTGTGATTTTATAATTATTGACATTGCTTGGACTTATTTATACGTTTAAGACCTTAAAACCAAAAGAAAAAAGGGTTTTACAAAAATGACGAAAAAAGTGCCATTGAAATTCGAAAAGTGAAATTCACCCATAAATGCACTATCGGCTGAAAATA